TTTGCTTGCTAGCAAATTTTATGAGTTTGCTTGCTAGCAAATTTTATGTGACAGACTGAGCTAGCCAATGGCAGATAGATTTCTGAATGAATCTGTGATTCTGTGAGCAACTCAATCTGCCTGCCTGCTTTGCCTGATTTTGGGTAAAAGTTGCTCTTTTTTTATAAAAAATTCAATATTTATATAAATATTTATAATATTTACATACAAGCCATGCCCAGCCGGTCACATGACCACCAAGCCACACCTACAAATTAGGACACACCCACAGAACCGGTTAGTGGTCCCTGGGATCTAAAATTATGAGTTTGGTGGTCCCTGAGGTCCAAAAGGTTGGCGTCCCCTGCTCCAGGCTGTACTCTGTTCTATTATACTGTATACTGTTTGTACATTAAAGTTTTACAGATTTGTCCACTAAATACAATAGTCTAAATTGAAACAACAACAACAGCAAAAAGATCTGGAGGAGAACAACAATTTTCTCATTTCTGGAGTTTATATTGCTCCCCTCCCAAAAAAGTGTAGCAATTCAAAATGATTTGGGAACAAAAATACTCCCTTTAAAATTTCAACGGCTACTAAAAATCAACTTTTGACTCATTGGTTGGTTACTCAGCCCCACAATCAAAAATATTCACCAGATGAAGCAGAGACCAAACATGGAGCTGCTTTGATAGGAATGGCAGCGTACCAATTCAGGAAAAAACATATTCCAAGCGCCTATGCAGGTTTAATGAATTCAGCCTTAGCAGTTAGAGAAACACATTCAAACTTGGGGAGCTCTCTCTTATTATTCAAATGCTCAGGCTACAGAGAAACGGGATGTAGCTTCATTAAGTTTGGAGTATTTCTGAGGTTGTTTAACCAGCATATATTTCAAAATTGGAATAGCGAATTGCATCCTCTGTCTGCACAACAACTTGACAAACATTAGCATGAACTACTAAGGCAGTGTGACAGCCGCCTGCTGAGAGCAAAGTCTCCCTAATGTGTTTTGGCATGCAGGTTTGTAATCACACATTTACATATGCAATGACCTACATTTGCATGTCAGATCACACACTGTCTGGCTTTATTAAGACCGGGCACCTCTCTGTGTTTGGCGGCCAGAGTGGCGAGAGAGGGCCAGAGGGTGGTAGGGTTTTTTGGCAGTTGAGAGATGAACTGCCAGTGAGAATTAGACTGAGATAGCCTGAGCATTAGACACTTCATTAGAGGTAATCTGTTTAACAGTGGGCACTGTATGTAAACTTCACAGCCCATTTGCAGCATCTTCTCTGCCCACCCAACCCCAGTGGTCTTCCTTCAAAGGGCAGTGTGGCTGACTGACAGCTTGTCTCATCTGCTCTCTTGTTGTGTCATACAATTCAGACACAGAGACCTGACATGAGAAGCAACATAGCTGCACATCTCCAGCTATATAGCAGGACTCCCTCCCAGACATAAAGGAATTTGGAAAAGGAATAAACTCATGGATAATAGGGCCATCAGTTGGTCAGAGAACATATTATACAGCAATGATTAGACTGCATTGCAACCAGGCATATTTTTTTAAAAAACAATGGTGGTATCTTCTCTAGTATCTAACAGGGGTTTTTTTATTATTATTTTTTTCAAATAAAGCAGAAATTCATATACTGAACTAAAATGACCTATTTTAACTCATTCCTATGTTCAAAATAAATCCATAGTTTGTGATTGAGAGTTACAAGAACAGACTCTCATTCTCCTTGCCTTGTTTGACGTCAATTCTTCCCTCTTTTCCTTTGTCAGACCACAGTATGATTTGCCTGGCACTGCATACAAAGTCCATAAAAGAGACAAAAAATTGCCAAATGCCATCTGAAGTGTAATCAAACAAGCACCGATCCATAACAAGAAGCACAAATTTTCACACTATACTTACAGGGAGGAAAACATAACCACTACGTAAAATGTATTTTCAGTCCAAATTCGACTATTTCGTTGAATTTGGTGCCTGTCAACAGCCTTTCCACTCCTTACTAAAGAATTGCACCTATAGACCAGGTTTCAGCATTTTAATTAAATGGTTGCATTCCACCACAATGGAGGTCCATTCCTCCAACAATAGTAGGGCCAAACACTTTTATGAATCCCTGAAAATGATTCTTGCAAAAGAGAAAGAGAAGCACATTCTTGCTAATGATTTCCAAAATCCAAGAGGTAACTTTGCTTTGTTAACCATGACTTTCAATTATTTATAGCTGCACTATTTTGTACTGACTTAACGTTCTGTGGACCTAACACAATACTTTTTCTCTTCTAGGACAATAGAAGACAGTTTCCCTTGGGACTATGAAAAAACACTGAAGGGATACCAGTTATATTGGCACATTATCTAAAAATCACCTTGCATACTGCCTTATTCCTCATTACTGCTGCTCTGATTCTTTATATTCCAGAGCTTTTATTTTTATCTCTGGTATTATTCAAGCACGATACAGGTTTTTTTTCGGTCAGCTAAAGTGCCAATATCTGTCTGACGCAAACCCTTTCACAAATCAGAGAGCAAGGACAGTCTTCAAATTTATGATTTAACATTCTGCTCTGCAGCAAAAGCCACAAGGCCACATCATCTCTTGCAGATGTTTAATCACACTCTCCCCTTTCAGAAATTATGATTGCAACATTCTATTAAGCTAGTCTTTCTTTCATTGAATTTATCTTCACCAGTCCTGAAGCATTTAAAAAATTGCTCTGTTCAAAACAGAAGAAGGTATACTCTTGAAGCTTAGATTGTTGAAAAATAAAATGTCTATGTCACTTTCAATATGAAGAGTGGGGGTGGGGTTCTGGCAGAAATACTCACTTGCAAGCACAACCTGAAGGTAAAAATGTTTTTGTTACATTACGTTGAGCAACTTCAACCTATTTGCACATTTCTATTCTTCTCAAAATACAACAATAATCCCGAAGATTTGAAGCAGTGGTGGGATTCAAATTTTTTTACTACCAGTTCTGTGGGCATGGCTTGGTGGGTGTGGCAGGGGAAGGATACTGTAAAATCTCCAGTCAGAGGTTGTATTTGCCAGTTCTCCGAACTACTCAAAATTTCCGCTACTGGTTCTCCAGAACTGGTCAGAACCTGCTGAATACCACCTCTGATTTGAAGCAATTCTGGAGCCTGGCTGAATACTAATATGAGAACATATCACTAGAAACTAAAATACCTTTGAAAAAATACACATTTTATAGCAAGTAACAAAACCTATCCACTTTAGCAAATAGGCAATAGACAGTAGATTCAGTTACAGGAATATGTTGAAGGGTTTTTTCTAAAAAAAAAAAATCTGAAGTAAAGAAGGTAGACAAAGAATAAGATTGGGTTATACAAATTGTGATTTAAGGTTTTTCTTTGGAAACACCATTGTGGTAAAAATCCCTTTTCTCCATAACCTAGTTCTTCCAGGGATAAACTGTTAGCTTTACAACAGTTTATCCAGGGATAAACAGGTAGCTTTACAGACTGAGCTGAAAATCACCAATCTCCAGCTGTGTAAACTTCCTACAATTTCTCAGCTTCATTTGGTAGAATACTCACAATGCTCAGCTAGATGAGAATCTTCACTGCAGACAAGAAGAATGAACTCTTACCAACAGACAGAAAGCCCACTGTAATGTGTATACTTGTGTATATTCTCAGTGGGCTTTTTCCTACTGCCCTTCCAAATAAACTTAAAGTTAATTTAAAAGATCCATATGGCCATCCATCTTAGACCACAAATCTGGGCAGCTTACAACAACAATGTATTTGTCATCTCCCTTAATGGCCTTGGACAACTGTGATACATTTACAGAATGCTCCTCTCTTGCCTGAGAACCATCAATTCCCACCCCGTGAGCCTCAGATCTCACATTATGGACATCTTTGCTGGAGCTGCAGTATAGATAAAGTCACTACACCCAATGAAATTAATTGCAATTAATTAATTGCACACTTGGTTTTCATCCAAAACAAAAAGTAAAAGAATATAGCATCAGAGATTTCATTTTAAGGGAGGAAATACTTCTTGAAAACATAAAATTTGTGTCATTTCTGTTAAGGTGACTTCTAGTTTCAGGAGAATTATTTAAATTTGGCTTCAAAAAAATAAAAGTATATCAAAAGTTATGCTTTTACTATGTTCAGTTTTAGTTATATAATCCTTGCAGGGATCTCTGTATTGGATGAATTACAATTTTGATATAAGGCTTCAATTTTGCAGTGCTCTTTCCTTTCCTTTCTTCTTCTTTATTATTATTATTATTATTATTATTATTATTATTATTATTATTATTATTATTATTATTATTATTACTATTACTATTATTACTATTATTATTATTATTGACAGTGTTCTTCATTACCCCATTTCAGCCCTGCCCATGTTCCCCATTCACATTTCCACTGATTCCAGAAAAGGGAATCAGAATAAGATTTTGGAATAGATAATAACATTGGCATTTAAAACACCTTTCAGTCTATACCAGTGGTAGTCAACCTGGTCCCTACCGCCCACTAGTAGGCGTTCCAGCTTTCATGGTGGGTGGTAGGGGTTTTTCTCCTACTTTATAAATCACTATTACTGTGGAACCGGTGGGCGGTTAGAGAAAATTTTACTACTAACAGAGATACAAAAGTGGGCGGTAGGCATAAAAAGGTTGACTACCCCTGGTCTATACGATAACAGTTCTTTTAATATTAATGTACTCCTGAATGACTGCTTGTACTAGATTATCTAGATTAGCTTACCTGTGGCTGAAACTGAGACGCAGGAGGACCGGGCAGACCCTGTGATTGTTCATCCATTATTTCAAACCACAATCCTTTTGAATAACCTGCATTAAAACAGGATACAATCAAAACAGATTTTACTTGCATTTTTATGAGAAAAATTTACAGGGTTAACATGAGCAAAGGATTATAATCGTACTATTGATAAAAGAGGAAACCACAGAAAAAATAGTGAAGTCAATGTGTTTACATACAGGAAGAGCAAGTTCAGTCAGCCAAAGAAACATGAAGTGATCTTTTGCATGTAACCTTTAGCCCAAGCTTGTATTTAAATATCTGTGCCCTTTTTTCATTTCTTTTCTTTTCATTTTCTATAGATGAAAGCTGGCTCACAATGTCACCTATACAATCTTTTTGGAACTACAGAGACAACTGCAGGATCCAAGGCATTCATCACAATGATTAAACCAACATTGTGCTATACATACAATATTTTAACATAAATACAGTATATTCAGAAAGTATTCAGACCCCTCTCACTTTTGTATATTGTGTTATGCAATACTTGGCATAAGTATTCAGCTCCTTCATTCAGTACTTTGTTGAAGCACCTCTGGCAGCAATTACAGCCTTGAGTCTTTTGGGGTATGACACGACAAACTTTGCACATCTGGATTGGAGGGGGTGGGGGTTCTGCCATTCTTCCATGCAAATCCTCTCAAGCTCAATCAGGTTGGATGGCGACCGTCAGTGGACAGACATTTTGAAAGATGTTCAATAGGGTTCAAGTCAGTGGCTGGGCCACTCTAGGACATTCACAGAGTTGCTCCTAAGCCACTCCTGTGTTGTCTTGGCTGTGTGCTTAGGATCCTTGTCATGTTAAAAAGTGAATCTTCAGCCCAGCCTGAGGTCCTGAACGCTGTGGAAAAGGTTTTCACTGAGGATATCCCTGTACTTTGCTCCATTCAGTTGTCCCTCAACCCTCGTCTCCCAGTCCCTGCTGCTGTAAAACACCTCTACAGCATGATGCTGTCACCACTATGCTTTACTGTTGGGATGATATTGGGCAGTGCCTGGTTTCCTCCAAACATAACATTTAAAACTGAGGCCAAAAAGTTCAATCTTGGTTTCATCAGAGCAGAGAATCTTGTTCCTCACAGTCTAAGAGTCCTTCGGGTGCTTTTTTGCAAACTCCAAGTGGGCTTTCATGTATTTTGCACTGAGGAGAGGCTTCCATCTAGCCACTCTGCCATGAAGTCCAGATCAATGGAGGGCTGCAGTGATGGTTGTCCTTCTGGAACTCTGTCTCATCTCCACACAGGATCTCTAGAACTCAGTCAAAGTGACTATTGGGTTCTTGGTCACCTCTTTTACTAAAGCCCTTCTCCCCTGACTGCTCAGTTTGACCGGGTAACCAGCTCTTGGAAGAGTCCTGGTTGAGCCAAATTTCTTCCATTTGAGAATTATGGAGGACACTATGCTCTTAGGAACTTTCATTGCAGTAGAAATTTTACTGTAGCCTTCCCCATATCTGTGCCTTGCAATAATCCTGTCTCTGAGCTCTGCAGGCAGTTCCCTTAACCTCATGGCTTTCGCTCTGCTACCCTATGCAATGCATTGTTAGCTGTGAGGCCTTCTATAGAGAGTTGTGTTTCTTTCCAAATCATGTCCAATCAATTTAATTTAGCACAGATTGACTCCAATCAAGGTGTAGAAACATGTCATCAACTATCAAGAGAATGGGAAGCACCTGAGATAAATTTCAAGTATTGTTGCAAAGGCTCTGAATATTTAATGCCAATGTGATATTTAGGGTTTTTTTTCTTCTTAATAAATTTACAAGTCATTTCTAGAATTCTGTTTTTACTTTGTCGTTATGGAGTACTGAGTGTAGATTAATGAGATAAAAAGTTCCAGAGAACATTTTATTGCTAGAGAAGCCCTGTAAACATGCTAGAAATAAGAGTTCATTCTCATTCATAAATAAATAAATAAACAATGAGATCCTCTCAAAAGGGAGCAGACATGTAATTCTGCTTAACAAACTTTTTGAGGCAAATCCAGTGCAATCTGCAAATCCTTCATGTAAATCCCAGAAGGGCGAGTTAGTACTGCCAATGATATACATCTAAGTAAGTGTACGTTGGATTGTAGATTTGGATGCAATTTTTCCTGAGACATGTGACTATAAAATAACAAAAGGTTAAGTATATATACAGATTTGCCCAGATTTAAATCATGTGGATGGGTTCCCAGAGGAGCAGGATTTCTTCAGTTTCTTCTACTTCCAGAACCCCAAAGGCATTAAACATTTAGATTAGCTTGACAGTTGGTCCAAATATATTTCTTCCCATTGGAAGCAGTAAGAGGAAATATTTTTCCCAAATAAGAAAAAAGACAGTGACAATGTTTTTATCCTGCCAGTCTTGTTACCAAATGGGCATCTGAAGCTTTTGGAGAAGAATTTGAAAGTTGTGTTCAAACAATAGGAACATTCTGCCAGGAGCAGCATGAAATGACATTTTTTAAAAGGCACATTATAAAAACCATAAAGGTAATTCCTTATTCTCCATTTGTTCAAAGAGAAGGTAAGATTGAATGTCAGCATTCAGTAAAATGAAAAAAAAGTGAGTACATTTTATTAGCTATGATTTTTTTTCTCAATAGTATTACCTCGGGTCATATAGAACTGAAGTAACTTTAAATGTGAAAACACTATGGAGAATATAAGATATTTTTCAAAATGTTGCAAAGAAAGTTAACAGGAACACATTTCTACAGTTCCTTGTTAAAGCCAAGCCAGAAATCCAAATATATTAAACACAGAAACACTGAACAAGTCTATCCAACAGAACAATATCATGCAGCAGAATTACTGACATAATAGTTGCACTTTTAAGACTGAAAGCTTCTTTTTAAGGTGCTATATAAATAATGTAAGTTACACTATAGTACAAATAATCTTTCCTACTTTTTTCACTAACATCTCTATTTTCACCTTTTAATTCTTAAACTAGCTGGTTTTCTATACAATGGTCTTTAAGCCCTTGTATTGTGCTTGAAACATTACCAGAAAACTTTTCCACACTGGTTATTTCCTTCTGCTTTTAATCTCAAAGTAACTGTAACTGATATAAGCAGCACATGTCTTAATAACAACCTGTACATTTAAGAACCGTGTGTTTGTGTATGAGAGACAGAGAGAGGATGGAAATATGAACTCTATACTGGGGTTTCTTAGAAAGGTTAGATATTATGATCTATAACATTTTCCTTGAAGACACTATCCATCTTCCCTGCACTATATTCAATACAGGTGCTTTTAAAAAAAATATTCATTTTCACTGATTTAGACCAATGTGTGTTTTGGAACGGAGAGAGGGAGAGAGGGGAGGAGAGAGATCTTATTTGAACTTGATGTACTGAAAAAGCAACTCTTACAACACATTTCATAATGTTCTACAATCTAAAAGAATTCCATTATTAATATGGACTTTTACAGGCAGAGAAACTCTATTTAAATATATGGTTGTACACCAAACAGAAGTTAAGAATACATTATATTCCATCCAACTTTAAAAAGACAAACTATTCATGCCTACACAAGATATACCAATCAGGTCCAGAAACTTCTAATGGACACAATGATAGTAAAAACATCTGCATTCATTCTAGAGATTTCCCAATTCTACTAAGTACCATACAACTGTCATGAGAGCAGCCTGGATAGTTGTAATTAGAGGGGAGATTAACTCTGTCCTCCAAAAATGACGATATGGTATTTCAGAAGCAGATGTACTACTGTCTCAATTTCAGAGTCTGAGCAGAGACACCAATGCTTCATAAGGAATACTATCGTATTTTTCTATCAACACCACTGAGTTAGGAACATCCAAATGTGACAATATAAATATCATGTGAGAAAAAACCAATAAATGATACAGATACTGGGGGGGGGGGTTGTAAAATGAGACTCTGTTAACGTTGTAGCAAAGGTGAAAAATGATTTTTTTTTTTTGGTGGTAAAATTCTCTGCTTGACTTCTTTCCAGGTTTAAACCAAGTGTAGCATGGGGGGGGGGGGGGGATAAGTGTTTTACAGTGAACCATGTCGTCCATTATTTGTTTCTTCCAATAAGACTGGTATCTGTCAGGACTCATTGGGATAGTAATTCATCTCCCCAAAATTTGTTTAAGCTAATACTTCAATTAGCTCAGACAAGAGAAAGGCACAGATTGGGTAAACTTTACAGTGTTAATGAGCCAGAAGTCAGCAAAATACTGGCTTTGGCAAATAGTCTCTTTTCTTACTTGCTCTAAACAGAAACAGTTTCAAGCAATGCTACTTGCACTTCTCCAGCCATTGACTAAGACATAACATCTCAGTCTCAATCCAAACTGAATAAAGTATATATTTGTAAGGGGAGGGGGAGATGAGTAGCAACTTCTGCTAAGTGGCCTGAAAACTTAACTCTCCCTTGAAAATGCCTTTAGAAGTAAAGTTTTTTTTTTCAAACAGAGCTCAGCTGGTTTACACCTACTGATCAACTTAATACTTCAGAAACTTTGATCACGAATGTCATCTCCTTTTAATTCCTTTAGTAAAGGACCTGAAAATTTTGTAAAGAGGTCTAACAACAAAGGGAAGTTTTCTCCTCCTCCTCTGTCTCCCCTACACTCTATTTTTGGCAAAACGCAAACTATTTTGGATTCGTTGGCAATTCTCCGCAAGACACAATGTGTATTTGTTTGTTGTTGTTGTTTTTTTCAGTGCAACGCTTTCAAAACTGCATAGCGCTCAGAAGTCAAATTCCCACGGACTTCAGCGGGGTTCGTTCTTGGGTAAACAAATCAAGGCTTGCAAAACCTGGCACCATATTCATCGGGGGGAGGAAAAAAACCATCTCTCTGCTAGCCTCAGCCTGATAAGGCTGGGTTCAATACCGAAACCGGTCTGCGGCCCTAAGGCCTGCGCCTTGCCTTAAAACCAGGATGGAGGAGCAAGAACCAAATTCGGACTGGGATAACTCCGCTTCCAGCCAATCAGTTGCGGATGCCGCTCCCAGGAAATCTGGGGAGGAAACCCCCTTCGCGTGCTTTCCTAACTACCTTACTTACTAGCTGCTTACGACTTCATGATAATTCTTCTTTATCGGCTGCCCGTTCTCGTTTTCTTACTAAAACCCCAAACCAGCCCCAGCCCGGCACTCTTTCTCGTTTTTCAAGCTACCGTCCCAGCCGGCTGCACTCTCGCAGGAAGTCCTTTCTGAAAAGCGCTGCCGACTGGCGACACTAGGGGCTGAAAGAAGGAAGAGAGAGAAGAGCAAAAGAAAGGCGAGGACAGCCGCTCTCGTCTCCCGCGAGGCGCCTTCCCCTCTTTCCAGAAAAACTAGTCCACAGACCCTACCCTTTCCCCCTCCCTCCCGCCGGTCACCACGTGAGCCAGGAAAGCCGGGCCACCGTCTCGGAAAACGGCAAGCGAGAAGAACGACTACCTACCGCCCGAAGAGCGGCGAAGGGCGCCAGCTGGGACGGACGAGTCGCGGCGGGGAGGGAGGGAGGAGTCGGGGTGGCTCAGCAGTAGCGCACGCGTCACGGGGTGCCCGGGACTCGCGCGCTGGGTCGGCCCGGAGTGGCGTTTGGGGAGGGGCGACCGGGGGGGGAGGGCGGCTAAAAATGCCCCGGCCCCGGCTTGGTAGCTACGGAAGCAGAATCCTTTCGAGGCCCGGAAAAAGTTCTTGGTGTGTGAGGGAACTGAACTTCGGTTTTTGCTCTGAAAGAGACGCGCTCCTGGATTGTAGCCGCCTCCGGCCCGGCCGTGCGCTTCTTTTATTTTATTTTATTTTATTTTATTTTTCGGATATCCCCTCTTAAGGGACGGCCGGGGTGTTGATTTCCTTTTCTGAAATGCGTGGGAGTCGTGACGTAATTCGGAATTTCTCGCCAATGCTTATCCAGGAAGACGGCGGGGTTCCGCTTGCGGAGCTTCATTAAGAGGGATTGAATGTGGACGCTTCCAACCGAGCGGGACCTTGGGCTGGATGACCTAATATGATCTCTTCCAGTTTTTGATTTTATACAAATGAAAATTGGAAAGGTTTTCAGTAAAACCTGGACCTTTCACATTTAGAAATGACTGATGGCAAGGGACTGATAAGGCTATGCACACAGCCCTTTGCAAACAAATAATTTGTATATTGTTTACACATAATTCCGCCCATTGACACTCCTGTTACATATCAATTATTGCTTCCATAAGCTACATTCTAATGAAAATCCTTATCTGCAGCATATCTCAGCCTGGTAAAAATGGTTTAAAGGATTTCTAAACAAGGTGACAACTTATGACTAGTTTTCTGTAAATTTTACGTCTTGACTTGTTTTGCTTCAGAAATGTTATCTTTCTTAATATGTGTAAGGGACAGAAAGATATCACAGCTGTCCCTCTTTCATTCCTCTGCTGGTATACTTATGTATCTTTGCTTGAAATGTAAATGAATTACTAAGAAAGCCCTTCTTAACTGAAGATCAATCTCAGAATAAAGGAGTTGTCCTTTATCTTTTTCTTTCTTGAATACTTTCTCGAAGCATCTTTCAACAGTAGGACTTAACAAAGGATACTGACAATTTTGCAGCCATTGACCCCATATCCTTCCCACTAACATATAAGTCAAATTAATATGCATTCTATGATTTGTGTATCAAGGGTACACAAAATACGTGGAACATATTGCATGAGCAGTGCTGACTACTGCTTATGTAAATGTGCATTAAGGGAAGCTTTACCCAAACACTCTGTGGCAATGGAAATGTGAAGGATGCTATATACCAAAGAGATGCTATATACTTGAGACTCTTGAAGTAGATAAATGGCTTGTAAACTTCCTTTTGCAACATTCTGGAGGCTGCTTACCAACATTCACTGGAAGCTTTGTCTCAGAACTTTGTAATGTGGGGAAAGTATTGGGAACTCTACGTACATCTGCATTATTATAATTTTATTTATCCGGGTTCTAAATAATAAATGGATATACTGAATTCTGAAATACAGGATTGGGTAGTTAGATCCTACTCTGTTCCTTCCAAATCTCTACCCATATGAGCATTAACTCCAGTAACCTTTGGGGGGTGGCAATGGGCAGAAGAAATGCTATATCCCTATGGATCTGACATCTACGGTAGTTATGCAACATTATGTCTATTTGACCCAATTGTTAGAACCTTTGATTTACATTCATACAAATAAATAAAATCTCTTTCCTCTTCAAATGTTTGTGAAACACCTTGTGTGATGAGTTCAAGGATACAAAATGACCTAGAAACACACTTCTATTTCTGTGTCTAATAGAGGCGTTCAAATACTTCTGAAAACTATATATTTATGAATCTAATGTGTCCTTTACTTCAGTTCAGAAAACTGAATAATGGCCAATGTAGCTGTAATTTTAAGAGATGGGTTAACGCTGCATTTTTCTGCTAAACAGGAATACTAACATTAAACACCTATGGAAGGCCGACTTATATTTTACCTTTATTAATAATAGAGTAAGGCAATATATATTAAAATATGCATCTCTCATTTGTTGTATTTATTTTGCTGAAATAAATATAATAAATAAGAGATGTATGTTTTAAATTCTTTCACTGTTTTACCAGGTATAAGAAGGACTTCTGGTTAATTGGAGAACTTACTTTATTACTGTACTTCTCATGTTACATAAAAAGAAATTTCCCCCCAGAAATAGCTTTCTTTGCTTTTGTGAGGAACTGTCACAGAATCCAAAGAGGTTCCTGCCTGATGCGTACATGTTGTGGGCAAGCCTGTTGAATCTTATTTCTATAGGCCAATAGAAATACACAGATCCATTTTTCCCTCTCTCAAATGAGTGAGAGATCTGTGGTTCTCTAGGTACTGAATTCCATTTTCAATTAGATGTCACAACCAATTATGAGAGTTTCTGAGATGTTTTGAAATCTGCAAAATTCCTCAAACCCCTTACTAAAATTTTATAGATAGTCCTTGATTTACGACCACAATTGAGTCCAAAATTTTTGTTGCTAAGTGAGACATTTGTTAAATGAGTTTTGCCCCATTTTATGACCTACCTTGCCACAGTTGTTAAGTGAATCACTGCAGTTAAATTAATACCATGGTAATTAAGTGGATCTGGCTTCCCTGTTGACTTTGTTTGTGAGAAGGTTGCCAAAGGTGATCACATGACTCGGACACTGCAACTCTCATAAATATGAGTCAGTTGCCAAGAGTCTGAATTTTGATCACATGTGGGACTTGTTGCAACGAACACTGGGAATGCTGCAAGGGTCATAATTGTGAAAAATGGTCATATGTCACTTTTTTCAGTGTCATAACTGAAATGGTCACTAAATGAACTGTTGTAAGTTGAGAACCATCCAGAAAGATGGCTGCTTCCTTACTGAACATCACATTGTTGGAACAAAGAGTGGTAAGGACAGTTGAGAAGATTATAGGACGCTTACTTCCTGTTATTCAGGATACTGCTTATAAGCGCTATGTGCTTAGAGCTCAAAGCATTGTTATAGACCCTGCACACCCACTTTACGGTCTGTTTCTGTTACTCCCCTCTGGGAGGAGGTTTCAAAGTATAGCAGGATTACTAGATTCTGTAACAGCTTTGTTCCTTAGGCCAGGGGTCACCAACCTTTTGAACTTCAGGGACCACCAATCTCATAATTTTAAATCCCGCAGACCACTAATATGAATTTTAGCTGTTCCAGGATGACCAAAGGGCCAGTCATGTGACTATTACAGCTTTGGAATATGGGACTGACTTTCCCACCAACATCAGCAAGCCACCCTGGGGCGGATTTCCCTCCCCACCATTGGTCTTACCTTCCAGTTCCAGTTCTCATGGCTCTACTCAAGGTAAGGTTTGCACTCGGCTGAACGGGTGGGCCATGTGGGCGGTGCAGCCTTTTGTTCCCGTGCAACCTGGATTAATTGCTTTGCGGGGGTGCTTTGTGGGGGACATTTCTCTGCGGACCACCAAAATTTTCTCGTGGACCACCAGTGGTCCCTGGCCCTCTGGTTGGTGACCACTGCCTTAGGCCATTCATCTTGTAAACTTCCAGAATTCTTTTTTTTTTTCACCATGTATATGTATACATTCAAACTAGACATTTCTCTATATCATATGTGTGTGTATGTGGGCATATGCATAATGGTTATCTTTTGAGAGCTGAATGCAATAGCATTTCATTTTAATGTATGCTGTTTAGTGCCCATTTAAAGTGGCAATAAAGTTTTTATTCTAATGTTTGCTCATAGAATTTTTCAAAAGTGGATTGGATGAATTTATGGGAGAGATCTAGTCTTCTGGAACATGTTCACAGGACCTTGCTATGTTCATTAAAATGATGAACTGCTCCTGTTTCATATGTATGCAAGCATCACTCTATCTACCTTGCTTTGGTATTCTGTCCCTCCCTTGCCTGCCTCTCCCATAGATACTGCTGGTCTTAAGATGGTTAGTCATGACAAGAAACAAAATGCTGAACTAAGATGACCCTTGCAAGGCTATTATTATGTACTTATTTCTGGACTCATCACTGTTGTCTCAGTGACTGTGAATGTTTATGTACCTGTTTAGACTGATACACCAGCCTGGAGAGGCTCTACCTGGAGAGACACATCCTTGCAAAACACTCCAATGACTTCTAACTGGATTATTGCAATATGTTGAACTGGGATTGTGACTGCAAATGGTTTCAGAAATCTCAATTACTTCAAAACAGAGCTGATGAACTACTAAGGGTTGGCGAGTGCAATCAAATGCCTCTGCATTGCAGCCCACCAGTTTTCACTACATTTCCAGGGCCTATCCAAAGTACTTGTACTTAAAGACTTAGGTGGCTTAGGATCAGATTGCTTAAAAGGGCATTTCCTTCACATGTTTCTACTTGGACAGTGAAATTTTTGTCACTTCTCTAGGTTCCCTACACAGGAGTTCTAAATCTTTCTGTGCCATGGCTGTCTTTGAGAGCAAAATCTACGAGCCCCTTTTTATAAATACATATTCAAATGTTTAAAATACATGGATGCATATTTATTATAAAGGAAATTAATAATGTTCAAGTGCAGTTATCAAAACATTAAAAATAACCAATGTGTAATACAGAAATATATATGCTTTATTAATGCATTAAATCAATAACAAGGCAAGCTAAATTTCTGCTAGAGTTTAGTGAAAATAAAGTTATAATTTTCCCTATCCAAAGGCATGGATCCCTTGAAATCTATCTAGAGTAAGGATCTGTGTCCTAGAGAATGTGGTAAAGTAGGGAGAGACAAAAGAAAGAACATCTTTATGCCCTATTTCAAAAGTTTACCTGCTGACTCCATTATGAACTTTTTGACAGCAGGCAAATACCTTTCTATTTCTGTAATTCGTTTTACCGTAGTGATAGCAAGTTTGAGTGAGCTCTATCTCCTGTTATGTGACTGTTGTTATTACTGCGGATCTTATTGCTTTGTCTAAGGCTGCTGGTTTATTGTTTATAACATTTTAATGTTGCAAATCTGATTATATGAAGCAAATGTCTTTTAAACTATAACAGAATAAACAGTCAATAAATGCACACAGTCTATAGATTATTTTATTATATTTTAATATGTATGTGCTTTGCTCAAAGGGTTATTGGTAATAGCTAGTTTGTATATTATATAACTAGCATAATGTAGTATAGTACAATTCAATACGGTAGACATTCCAAGTGAATACAGAACATGAAACTAGTGGACAGCCCCTTTTGAACTTTCCAGTTATAGTCATTTATGCAAAATCACAGCAAGTGTCAATGGAAGAGTTTTATCTAACTTTGAATATTGCTGGAACAAATGTCCATCTGGGTTCAGTTCCAAGTGGGAAGAAAGACACTGGAAACAAGGAGACTGCTTGGAAGAATGGTTTAATGTGAACAGGACCACATGGTTTTGAGGTCCTTGGCAAAAACTGAGTACATGGGTGAGAGAGGAAGAGAGATTTATACCCTCTGTTAGGCTTTGAACTTGCTTCCTGTTCCTGCGGCAAAAATGTATCCTGATTGGTTGTCAGACTTCCATGGGGCCATGCAGGGGTAACTTTGTAGGCTATCTTGAGTCCCAGGGTTGGTTGAATCTTGCTGATGATGTAATGAAGGGGTTTTGGGCAATTCCTATTATGGCTTAATGGCTTTGTCCTGTTTTGGATCTGAGTGAGGGCTAATCCTATCATGTCCTGACTGTGAAGGTCTTTTGTGTTGTAGATAAGTTGGCCCAGCCTTTTGTCCTGTAGATAAGCTGGCACCAAAATATCTGCTGGGGCTGAGTTTCTATGTCCCTTAAGATTTCTATTTCTCTTTTAGGAGAAATATTCTGCTTTTTTAATATTTCCTAGAATATTTCATTCTTCTGGGAGAGAGGTAGGTGCTAACTTTCTACACTACAGAATACTTGCGAGTAATTTACAGCAGTTAAATAATTTTTTTCTCTACAATAGTTTTACATAGTAAGAAATAACAGTGTGTTCTGCCTTTTGGGATCTAGAATTGAATCAGAAACTTAGCTCTCTAAAACATAATTTGTTTAACCATGGTTAACAAAATCACAAATGATAGAATTCATACAACATGCAATTTTAAAACATACAGTTTGCAAATCACAATGGGTGATTAAGATGTTAAGCCAAAACAAAATGATACCCATTATGCCTTAACAGCAAGATATGAATCCAGCCACAAGTCCCTTTATGGAAATTAAGCTATGAATGCAACTTTCCTGGGTAGAAATATCTTGGCAACAGAGATCCCAGCCATCTGTCTAAATTGTTATCCAGAGATTTATGAAAGTTGCATATTATTTACAGACATAAAACAATAGGTAAAGTTAGGTAGCTTTTCAATATTCTCCAAACATC